GGATGGCGTCTTCCAACTGGAGAAGCTGAGAAGCTGGCGATATGGAGGGTGTGCTACAGCCTCCCGCATGATATCTCCAAAGTGAAGGTCATCAAACTTAGTGAAGTCAAGTTTCCAGTGGACCCCAGTCCAAGAGCGTGCCCAGAACCTCGCTTCCTTTTCAGCTTTTGACCACCTCCTTAGCCTTATCAAGTAAGAGTGGCTCAGGTCGACCATCCTACAACAACATCCAAGACATACACCATACGTGGAAATTACATGTTAATTGCACATCAAGTGGAGAAAAGAATTCCCCCACACTCATGCTTCACTACGGTCCTATGCCTTGAAGGCTTTTCCCAAGACCGGCTGTTGGACAATTAAGCTTAAATGCACAAGAGCTCACAGAGGCATGGTTCTAGGTGGTTCACAAATTATCTACACAGAAAAACAAACCTAAACCATGTCCCGATGGCTTCCAACAGTCAGTAATCAGATCGGAGCAAGCATCCGCTTAGACTTCTAGTTGGTGTACTGTATGTTTAGTAGTAGGACTGGAGATTAAGATTTTAAGGTCTGAGTTTGCCCAAATGTTAGGGCTTCGCATTTAAGTAATGATAGTTGTTTTCGATATTTATTAAAGTTAATGACGAAAAGTTTCCGCTATCTTTCTAAGTATTTTCAATTCTTATTTTATTTCACGGTTTATCAAGGGTATTTTCGGTAAAATTAATGTCCGTTCGGACTAGGGTGTTTCAAAAGAAGAAGTAGAGAAGAGTAGAGGTTGGGGATGAATTAGAGATTCGACTCTCATTTTGAGTTCTTGGCAAAAGGGATTTGGTAGCACAAAGGAAGGGAGAAATACCTTGGGTGCAACTGAACTTTTAAAATTGGGTAACGGATACCACTAAGTTACAAATAGGGCATCGGGTACCATCCAACTCGTTAAACTGTGTTTCTGTTCATTTTTTCCGTCTACGTCAATAACAGAGTGAGCAAAAAAAGCAGGGATACTAGCTCAGCTTTGACTGGGGCCTACCGACCTACTAACTCGATTTGAACATAACAACAAGGACTGCGAGGTTATGAAAATGGAAGTGGGAAGAACAAATTAGGTTTAGGATAAACTAATCAACACATCTCAACCACCATCTTCATCTCCTATTCCACAACAAAATCAGATGGGTTGATCGGGGAGAACAAAATCAGTTGGATTGATCGGCGGAGAGCGCATCCACAAGAAGGCGAGAGGGATTGGGGTGAATTCCTCCACCTACTCAAACTACTCGTCTTCTGAAGATCTGCTGGAAGGGTTTTGGTTTGCGGCGAGATTCAACTAGAAGGGAACATCAGAGAAATAGCCGAGAAGAAGAAGTTCACCTCCATCCTCTCCGAATCAAGCTTCGAACCTTCCATCCTACTTCGAAAACATGAAAGAAATTCTAAGAAAGTCTACTTCTTTTGAATATCTTCCCGCATATGGTAAGGTTCTTTCTTTATGTTGTCTGTAGCGTTGGGTTGTTTCTGTATGTCACTTTCAAGGTTGCATGAACTGCTTCTAAACAATAAAAGGTTTGGATGGTGGAATATCCTAGACTATTTATATGTATTATGTTTCTTTGTGTGATTGTGTATGGTTTGCCTGTGGTCTCATATGCTTTTTGGCTATTTATTGTGGTTGTATAGGGTATGCAAGTGGTCCAAATGTTTCTTTTCTTTGTTTGTTTCTGATTGGATGCCTGCAAAAGCCATTCAAGCTTTTTGTTTGTTTCCTTTCCACTATGTATACCTTTACTAGGGCTATTAGTGATTCAAGCCGAGTGTGGAGATGTATCTGATCAACAAAGTGGATGTTGAAGGAAAGAAATCGACAACCAATCTGAGGGCTGATCTTGGTTGCAAGGTCAAAAATAGATGAAGGAGGTGGATCTAATAGTGCCAGTTGGTTCGAGGATGCTGAAAATCATTTCAACGATGATGAGTTTAATTTCGAGGACTTTGAAAGTAGTGCGGACACTCGTAATATTGGTGAAGATTGTGACACGGATTGTGGGGATTTGAATGACCTAGGAAGCTTCCATTCGAGTGACGATGAAGGTTGTCCAAGAAATAAATTAGAAGAATTTAATCCGACAAGGGATAGGGAGAATCCTCTATTCTGTCTAGGGAAAATCTACAGGGTTTTGAAGACATTCAAAGATTCTATTATCGCATATTCAAAAAAAACAAGTTCCCTTTGAAGTTCTGCCACAGTGATCCAACAAGAGTTCATGTTACATGTGATAAAAATTGTGGTTGGAACATTTGGGCATCACCTACACAAAATGGGAAAAAGTTTGTCATTAAAGCTTGCCACTTGCAACATCACATATGTATTTTGCTTTCTAGCACAAATGGTTCACTTACCAGTTCATTGCCAAGAAGTATCTTATTAAATTCGAACTTGATCCTAAATGGGGTAACGACTCAATAGCACAGACGCTCGAAGAAGATTTCCACTACACAATGTCGAGGCGGACAACAAGAAGGCTAGACAATATGTTGTCCAGTTCATAAGAGGGAAGGCTGAAGATCAATATGCTCGGCTTAATGACTATTGTGCCGAAGTTTACTGAACTCATCCGGGTTCAACTATATTCGTGGAGACAGATGAAGGTCATTTTTCCATAATGTACAGCTTGTAAGGAAGGGTTTGCTGCTGGTTGTAGGAAAGTCATCTTCCTCGACGGTTGTTTCTTGAAGAAGCTTCATGGAGGACAACTTGAACTACAATGTCCAAGTACTTATTTTGCAGTTTTTAGGCTTTTGAACTCAATGTTTTGTGGCACATTGGTAACCTAGTCATGTGACTGCAGCTTGAACTATCTGCCATGTACTTGTTTTGAGTCGAGCATATGTTGTTGTTCTGTAATGTTACTTTGCTAGGGATCAGAACTTTCTAAATAGGTGTATGATATTGATTTCTTGATTTGTCATGTTGTTCTGTATTGTTCTTCAACCAATGCAGATTACATATGGTATTTGAGCAATGCAGATTGTATATGGTATTTCTTATTGCAAAACAGGTTTGTAATGTCATCATAAAATCATGCATAATGCTTCTTTCTAAACAGGTGAACTCTGGCTAGAAATAGAATACCAAATCCATAAAACTCCATTATATTACCCTTGTGCTCCATATATTACATATTTCTAAACATGAAAGAAATCACAAAAATTAACAACATTATCAGTCCAAACTTCTTGCTTTCACTCAAACCAGATGCTCGGTCATTCCTCCTCTGCAAATCACGGATCTGCTTGAGTAGTCCCGAATGGCTTTCTTAACTGGTTTGTCTAGAACTAGATCCATCCATCGAAAAAAGTTGCATGCATTCGGACCCTATACATTGGATTACATAAAAATGAGTGAAAATCCTTGCAGCTTAATTTTAGTTGGGGGAGAGCTTTGCTAGAAAAATCAACAAAATCCTTACACATCAAACATACTTACCCCATAATTGTTGTATCTGTAAAATCTACGCCCCAGATTAGTGTCTTTCCATGAATGATGAAGCACAACCAGTTCACCACATTTACAAGTAAGGCCTTGGGGGCTGCCATAGCAAAAGAAGAAGAAGGTCGAGTTGTTGCTACTATTGTTAGGTGGATGCTGATGAGTTTTGGCTTGATGGGATAAGGAGGAAGAAGAAGGGTAGAAGAGTTGAAGTAGGGTGGGTGGTGCCTTTAATTGGGCATGGGTTCTTCAATGCAGGAGGAAGGAGTTTAGGATAAAAATATGGGGGTGGGTTACAATGGAGATGAAAGTTGAGAAACTGGATTTTGGCACCAAGTTTCCTTCCAAAACCGAGTCAGCAGGTAGGCCCCAGTCAACGCTGAGCTGGCATCCCCATTTTCTTTGTTCACTTCGTTATTGACCTAGATGGAAAAAACAAACGGAAACACATTTCAAGGACTTGGATGATACCTTATACCCTTTTTGTAGTCAGTGGTATCCTTCCCCCAATTTGAAAATTTAGTGGCACCCGGGGTATTTCTCGCCACAAATGATGGCGAAAAAAGAGTAAAGCTGGGGTAGGTTCGTTATGTGTTGCATTAAATTTATCCACAACTGAGTGGCTTAACGGAAACAAAATTTACGGAAATGAAACATTTATTATCATAAGAGTAAATCAATTAAATAAGGTTTAGTTAATAGTTATTACTACCGAATAATTTAATTGCTATAAATTTTTATTGTGCTTGCAACAAAATTATTTAGTTATCTAATATTTTTAAAAATAAATAAATCGGTAACCAATAATATTTGGTTGGAAGAATTAGATATCATGATGCTACCACATTAATTGATAGAAAAAAGTAAAAAATATTTTGTTACCAAATTTATTTTTTTGAGAAAATTAAAAGCTATTTTATTACCAAATTATTTGGTCTTCTCTACTTTTATTTGGCTATTAATTTTTATTTTATTTTAATAGGTAACCAATTGGTTAATGTTTTAGCTACCAAAATGTAATTGATTGTAAATACTAGCCTTTTCACAACCAATTGTAGTTTAGTTGTAGATATATTGGTTGCAAAACTTTTATTTTGTTGTCGTGTTGATCCGTTAGGCAATAGAAAATTAGATGAATAAATTTGGGCTGGCAAATTTCGAATTGACTCATTTTGAGTCAATTACAGTTGTCTGGGGTGGGGGAGATAATTTGAATTGACTCATACTGCAAAATGGAACAATTGATCAAATTATCTCATTTTACAATTGATCCATACAAACGATCCTTAGTTATTTTGGATGGCCAGTACGTATTGATGAAACCAAATTTAAAGTTAATTACTAGTAAGAAAGAAAATACATTTGGGCAGCAAGAGTGAAATAAATTTAAATCCGAGTGACCAGACGTGTAATTGAGCTAAATTGAAATGAAGAATTTGGATAGATATAGCCAATTTACTAATTAAAACCGCTGCCTTTACTGAATTGATCTCAGCCCCACATTTATTTATGACATAAAAGTTGGCTCATCAGTAACACAGCATAGTTCTGATTTGATAGATTCCTCCGTGGCCCTGTTTCCGGGCTCCTCTCTTTAATTCCCCGCTCTGTTCTCCTTAAATTCCCAACATGATCTGTGAGACGACAAGAAGATCCTGTGGGGTTCTTATTGTTGTCGCCGCCGCAGCCGTGGCCATGTTGGCAGCATTGTCATGTGGTGTGGGTCCAGCAAACGCGGGGGGAGGCGTGAACGGGAACGCAGGGAGGCAGCAGCGGCAGTTGAAAGCGGGGAGCGGTGGTGGAAGCAGCGGTGGGTGCAGCAATCTCAATCTGTACGAAGGGAGCTGGGTTTACGACCAGGCTTATCCTCCCTATGATTCATCTTCTTGTCCCTTCATTGCCAAAGAGTTCGATTGCTTGAAGTTCGGACGGCCGGATCGGCGCTACCTTCAGTACCGATGGCAGCCGGGCGGAGGCTGTAACTTGCCCAGGTAATTAATAACTGTAAACATATATACTTACGTCCTCCTGTCCTCTAATTTCCCGGCCCCCATTTACTTCTGTAGCGGTTTTTCTCCGATTGGAATTGGAAGCGTAGAGAATATTATTCAATAAGAAATAAAAAACTAGCTTATTCCAAAATGTATTGGTCCCGTCCAACACGTGTAGATGGCCAAGCAAAAAAACTATATATATAAAAAAAGTGTTGGCAATACGTACACAGATGGAAGGGGTTGTGTATGGTAAGGTTGTCAAACCGGTTTAAGTCATTGAGCCGGTCAAGTAAGGGGTTTGAGATTCAATGGTCTGATCGGGGTCCGGCCGGTTTGAGCCATTTTAGAAATTTTCTAAATATATATACAAATAAGGTAGTAATTAAAGATTTAATGACTAAAATAAAATTTATCTTACATATATTTACTAAAAATTTATTTTTCACAAAATAAATCTACATAACCCATCCAACATCTCTCTTTCTTCGTTCCCTTCCTCTCTTCTCCCTCTCTTCTTCTCTCTCTTTAGGGGTCAGACCGATATGCTTTCTAAAGGCAGTTTTGAAACTCGAGTCGGATTAGACCGGGTCCAATGGGGGTTTAACAACTTTGTTGTATGGCCATGTTTATATAAAATATTGGGAGTGGGGTTGCTGAAGATAATTATAAAATGGGATGGGTTGTCTCTATCAGTGTGAGGTGTGTGGCACGCAATGAATGGGTCGATGGTGATGGCAGTAGGATGCCTGCCAAGCGCATCCTTTCCAATTCACATAGTAATAATAATGTATAATTTTTTCCTATCTAATTTAATATGTTATATATATTTTGTTTTAAGTTGGATTTTAAAATAAATTGCTCAGAAATATCAGTTTAATCATTCTCTTCAAAATGACATTAATTTTTATATGTTTTGAAACAAAAAAAAATTGGAAACATATATCATCAGTCTATATCGGGGTAGAGCTTGCAAAATTTTCCAGATAGTCATGAAACATTTTATTCAATAAATTTTAGATTATAATAGATTATGATGAACTCTAACTATTTGTGAAAAAAAAAATTCAAAATTTGGTTAAAAATGAATGTAATACAGAGTAGTAGTGAGTGATAATGAGTAGTACAAATATTTTTTCTTGAAATATATCGAAAACACATATAATTTTATTGATCACAATGGGCCGTCTCATCTGTGCCAATTTTTTTTAACTTAGATTAAAACAAAGAAGATACAAGTCGATTAAAAAAATTAGGGAAAAAATATTCTAATCTCCCCTTTAAATCTGATCCACTTAATTAACACCAATGATCCAGATTTAATTATGCACTTGTGCATAACCAAGAGTTGTGCACTCTACACTAGACCAATCATCCTGGGTCTGAATCTGTATCTAAAGTAATCTCAGTTAGTCTGTTGCTCTGGTTTTGACAACCAGCTCCCATCGCACCCTTTGGTTTCTGTAGGTGAATAGCTTTGTTACTAATTACTTGTCATTAATCTACCTTTTGTTCTTACAATTTATTGACTACTATTGAAATAATATTGAAATAATAATATTATCATTATTTTATGAACTTGTTGAGATATAAAGAAAGGAAGTAAGGAACTAGTTAGCAATAGTTGGCACAAACAAGTAACCAACACTCTGCAAGTGCAAACTTCATATAAATTGTTAGAATGACGGGCTAGCTTAGCCTAGGTAGCCAGCTCTTATTAATTAATCAATAGCTGAGACTATATATTACTGCACTATATTATTATTATTATCATCATTAGTATTATGATTGCGATGGCTGAACTAATCACATGCTTCCAGTTAAGCACCAGCCCATCTTTTCTTTTCTACTCGTTTGTTTGCCTGAGTGGGGTTGGTTGGTTTCAACTCCATGTGTGTTTTGTGGGGGTTATCATGTGTCGTCTGTATGCTAGCTAGCTAGGGGTGAATTAAACTGATGCTTGGCAATTGAATCGGATTCGTGGATTAATGGATTGAATTGGTGGATCCATGGATTAAATGGATTGGTGGATTCATGGATTGGATAAAATGGATTTGTGGATTGATCCATGAATCCAAATGACATCCAAGGCTTGGACAAAAATGTAAAATTTAAAAAGTTTTGGTACTAAAATGATATAATGAAAAATTTTAGGTACTAAAATGTAATTTTACAATGATATTTTTCGTATAAAAATATAAATTTTAGGTACCAAAATGTAAAATATGAAAAATATAGGTACCAAATCTTGATTTGTCATTTCGATCCATGGATTGATCCATGAATTCATCAATCCAATTGAATTTGGATCAAATGGATTGGATTTAAATAGATTGGATTAGGTGGATAATTTGGTGGATGGATTAGATTGGATTCATGGATTTGGATCCTAACTATATTAATTAGCTAGGCGGCTCTACAATGTGATTTGGGTGTTCTTTCTCAACTATATATTTTACATAATCATCAACTTCATAACATCCTTATTCCATTGATATGCTCGTTTTGTTCTCAATATTGATCATACACAGCCCTTTTGGTGGGTAAACAATGATGTATGTAGGTAGTTACGTGGATATTAGGAGAGTGAAGATCAATTATACAAAACATGGAATGCAGTGACGGAGCCAAAAACATAAACAGGAGATAAATATTTTTACCTTTGAAGAATTTGAACTGTAAGAGATAAAGTTGTACATACCAAATAGTCTAATTTCGTTATTTCTTACATGAAAGTTTAATAACAACTTATCCATCCGTGCAAACCAAAACAATTACACTAAACAGAAGAGGTTAGTGCGTGGAGTTAATTATAGATGTTAGCTTGGATCCTGTTGCTTTACTCTGTAATTAGTTTTAGTTGATTGTAATTAAGTATTTTTTTTGACAAACGTTAATTAAGTATTTTAGTTGATTGTAATTAAGTAGGGTCCCATTGCATTGCAGCTTTTATAATTAAGTAGATAGCAAAATCTTTCATACTATCAAATACTTATATTGGTATGGTTTGCTTGTGAGATTTGGCCTTTGGGTGATGGATTTGGCATCAAACCCATGCATCATGGAAACGACACAAAGTCATTGTTTGTTAAGAGACACAAATCCGTGGGGTCCATCATAAATCCCACATTTCATTTGGGATTTGATAATGGATGGCAAACATGTGAGACAAATCCATCATAAATCCATGATAAAAGATCAACTAAACAAACAATGTACTCTTCCAAATCCATAATGCAGCAAATCCATTATAAATCCAAAGATTTTTAAAACTGAAAACCCTCATTTTCAAATCCAACAAGCAAACATATTTTCCCTCATTAAGTAATATATAAAATTCAGAGTTTGGGGTTACTATTCATCAGTGGCTCTCACACTCCTCATTGCAACTGGGCAAGTTTTAAGATTCATCTTTTACTCCACTCGCTCATTCCCCAACCTTTGTGTTCATTTATTGTCCACATGATATACATCTATTGCCCATTATGGTTTCATCTTTCATTCATCTTTCCCACTTAAATCTACATCTATGATCTTTCGCCCAAATCGCCTTGGCCCACCAATTCGCAACCCATATCCAAACAATATCGACGAAATCATAAGTTGTTCTCTTCCACCGTTTGCCGCAATCGCTACCGAAGATCCATACCATATCTCAAAATACTTTCATTGGAATCCTAGGTTGTACCCATCCACCGTGTCCCAAGACCGCTACCGAAAATTCATACCAACATGCTCTGTGTTGCCGAGTTTTATATCGGGACCGAGTTTTATATTCATTAGTGCTTTCTTATTTCTCCTTTTCTTTTGGTTAAGCATGACAATTAAACTCAAACTCATGGGTATACACCTAATTCAATTAGGACAAAGCGACTTGAACTCGACTTTAGTAATTTAAATTTATATTTTTCTTTTTGTTGAGAATGATAATTGAACCCAAACTCATGGTATTTAAGAGTTTTGTATCGAGAGCGAGTTTTATCCTCTTTTATAGTTGGCATGTTGGGTCGAGTGTGAATTGTTAAAAACTCGATTCGACCCGGTCAAAACGAGCTGAACACGGTGTTGACGAGTTTTGGGTCGAGACGGAGATTTGTCTATTTAATGTTATTTTATTTTTTCATTTCCTTTTCGTTGAGAATGAAAATTGAAGCAAGACTCGGTGCTAACGAGTTTTGTATCAAGAGTGAATTTTATCTGCTTTTAGAATTGACATGTTGAGCCGACTATGAATTGTTAAAAATTTGGTTCGAACTAGTGAAGGCGAGTTGAACTTGGTGTGTAGAGTTTTTTGTGGGGAACGAGTTTTATCCTCTTTAGTGTTTTTAATTTATCTTTTTCCTTTTGGTTGAGAACCCAAACCTATGGGTATTCAACCTAATTTAAATTGATAAAAATGACTTGACCCTTTGTTGCAAGCTTTCAGGAAGGAGTGAGTTTTGTTCGCTTTGTAATTCGCGGGTCGAGTTGGTTGTGAATTTGTTACATACTCCGTTCAACCAGATCAAAGAGAGTTGAACATGATGTTGCCGAGTTTTGGGTCGTGATCGAGTTTTATCCACTTTAGTGTTTGTTAATTTCTCGGGCGGGTGTGAGTTTTATACACTTTTTAATTGTCTGGTAGGGTTGGTTGTGAATTTGTTATAAACTCGGTTCAACCAGATCAAAGAAAATTGAACATGAGGTTGCCGAGTTTTGGGTTATGAGCGGATATTATCCGCTTTATTGTCTCTTTTTCGTTTTGGTTGAGATTGAATCTGGAAAAAAAAAAGCAAAAAGAATACAAACTAATCAATAGTGTGACGAGAAATATTTAACATGGAAATCATTTGTTCGACGACCTTTCTCGCTTATTAAAGTTCATAGTTGCGTCAACTACATGACAAGCCCTTTACTTTTGGATCAAAATTCAAATTATTGATCTTTAAAATATCATGTTCTCGCTCACACTCGAAGCGATAGCGAGCGAGATTAAACTAGTAAATGGTAATTTACTCATTGTATTTGGTCACTGGGATTGAAAATTAAGAGGAAAACACATTTAAAAGACGTCATACAAAGACATTAAAAAAGAAAGTAAATTTACTAACACATGTTACTTTGAGATTCACCAGACCTTGGTCGACAGTATAACTGTAGTAATGTAATGTAATAAAGTGGGAGTGACATGTTAATTGTATTATATGAATGGTAATAATAAGAAGGAGAATCTCGGGGGGTGCAGATTTGAGGGTGAGAAGTTTCTGAGGAGGATGGAGGGGAAGAAGATGATGTTTGTAGGGGACTCGTTGAGTATGAATCAGTATGAGTCGCTGTTGTGCATGCTCCACGCAGCTGTCTCCAATTCCAACATCACCCGTCAATCCCAACCATACCTTTCTACCGCAACATTCCAGGTATGCATGCGCCTGTCTATATATATATATGTTACGTGATTGGCAACTGTAGTAAGGAAAGGAAACTGCAAGCGGGAGCAGGACAACCCATTAATTATGTATATTGCGTTTCTGCGTGCAGGACTATGGGGTGTCAATAATGTTGTTCACGAGTCACTACTTGGTTGATATAGAGGAGCAAGAGATTGGGCGGGTGTTAAAGCTCGATTCCATTAGCGACGCCACCAGTAGGCTGTGGAGGCAGATGGACTTTCTGGTCTTCAACACCTGGGCCTGGTGGTACAGAACGGGCCCTCAAAAGGGGTATGTACATGCACATGCACTGCATCTATCTATGAAATGAAATCAATAGTCTCTCTGTTTTTATGATATTGGTCACAGATGGGATTATGTTCAAGATGGTGAAACCATATCTGAGGACATGGATCGAATGCTTGCTTTCAAGAGAGCTTTAACAACCTGGGCCAAATGGGTAGAGGCAAATGTGAATGCAGCGAAAACAACCGTCTTTTTCCAAGGAGCTTCTCCTTCTCATTACAAGTAAGTAAGAAGCAATAACCCCTAGCTTAGCTAGGCTATGTATATACAACATGGCTGGCTTGTCATTTACGATTTTTTGTACGTGAAAGCAGCGGCACAGAGTGGGGAAAGCCAGGATTAAGAGACTGCTCTCATGAGACAGATCCAGTGCTGCCACCGGAAGCTTCAAACCTCGCTGTTGGTGGAGCCGTCTCCTTGGCGTTACAAGCACAACAAGACGCAATCAAATCCATCCACCATCCAATCTTGTTCCTCAACATAACTGGGCTTTCACATCTCAGAAAAGATGGCCACCCATCTTCCCACAGTGGGCTTGCCAGGCTGGACTGCACCCATTGGTGTATAGCAGGAGTCCCCGATGCCTGGAACCAACTTCTCTACACAACTATTCTAGATCAACCTTCCACACCTGCACCATTCTTTTAGCTAGCTAGCTCAGATGTTACTACAAATTCAATTCATCTTGGCCTCATTAATGATTACTATATTTCAACTATTTTGAATTTAGACTGACTAGCTAGCCATAAATAAATAATAAAAAGGTTATTGAGCAATGTTGTTTCAGTCGACGATCATGAGCTCATAGCCTGCTTTCAAAGAGGCAAACATGAATTAATTAGGTGTTAGAAACCGATTTATATCGGGTTTCTATATTTATGGTTATAATTATTATTAGGATATTTCTTATTATGGTTAGTAGTCTTCTAGTAAAATTAGGTTTATTCTTAGGGTTTTCTAGTATTTCCCTATATATATATATGTACTTTGGGTCATTCGTCATATTAGGCAAAAATTAATAAGAAAAGTCATCTCCCCAAATCCCTAATCTTCTCTCAATCTCGTCTATCTTTCTCTCTAAAGGCTTCGGCCATTCTATCTCTGTTCTTCCCCAAATTCTCTTCTCAAATCTCTAAATCCCCAATTCTGTTCTATAAACCCTAAATTCTCAATCTCTAGATCTGATCTGGAGACCCGTTAGAAACTCTAACATCTGGTATCAGAGCCATGGTCGAAGATCTGAGTTCGTCACAACTCTCAACTAGGGAGGAACGTATTTATGAAGACTTCATGCCTTGTGTCATGACGTTCGACCTGCGTAATCGCTTTATCTTATTCTTCGAATTGCCAGAGTTCGAGATGGAGCACATAGACGTACGGGTGATTGGATCCGATGTGCTAGCAATAATGGGACAACGTTCATTGGTTGTTGGTCACAGATGGATTCGATTCAAAACACAAATCAGATTCCGAGCAAATCACGACATCAAACGATATCGCGCTGGTTTTGGGAAATCCAATTTCAGCGTTCAAATCCCCAAAACTGCCGCACCTCCTGCACACGAGGAGAAGTCTACAATCGACGCACCATCACTGACAGAGGAAGAAGAGGTTGTGGACGATGGCGCAGCAGACGAGGCAGGCGATGAGGCTGAGGTGACTGATGGTGGTGAGGTCGAAGAAGGAGGAGGAGAGCTCGTGAGTCCTGTCGCTGCTACCGCAAGCATCATCACCATCGTCGAGCAGCAGGAGCGGGATCGGCAGCTGGTTGCAGACGGCGTGGAAGAAGGGCTGGCGGCATCAACACCAAAACTCAACCCGGAAGTCCCTGCCTTTCACGACGCAGTCGTAGAAGTCCCTGTTGTCGTGGATTTAGCTTCTGTCGGCGTTACCACGTCATTGGAGAAGATGCCAACGTCAATTGACAAGGCACTGGTGCCTACTGCAGCTATTGGAGCAGTGTCCTCCTCCGAAGAATCCGGGACTGATGGTTCTGGTAGAAGAACGAGATCGAGTCACATTGCGAACTGGCGGTTCCGGACGAAGGAGTCGTGGTCCAAAGAGAGAGAGTCGGCGACTGCAGCGTCGGCCAGGTCCACGACCTCTACTGCTATCGCAACCCCGGCCGCGTCATTGCCGAGCAGACCGGCAGCCGCATCTCTGGTGAAAGTAACGGCCGAGGAGCAACCAGTCAGCGCCACTCTCCGGTTTTGCTCGACGGCACCGACCAGGAATCCCAAGATTCGCTCGACGGCGGAGTGGAGCTCGCCTCATCGCCGTCGGATTAAGATGACCTCGACGGAGAACGAAACACCGCCGGAGATGGAAACGACGAGGGCGGACGGCAGAACGAGGAAGAAGCCAGCAACGGCTTCCGGGGCGATGTCGACCAGGGCGAGGGAGTCAAAGCCCGAGCCGAGGACTGATAAAGCACCAAATCGCCAGGATTCCTTGGCGACATTGGGAATCGGGTCGATGGCGTCTTGAGGGTTGATGGTCGCGGTACCGGAGGAAGAACAGAGGACGCCACCGGAAGCGTGGTGGCCTACGCGTTGCCGACAGGGTGTATGGCAGCCGAGGGAGAGGTCGGAAGAAGGCTGGCCTACTGGACACTTGAGGAGCAGCCCGCCGCCGGAGAAAAATGTGTCGGCGACGGAAACAGAGAGAGTTGCAGAAGAAGGAGGAGGTGTCGGAGTTGATTTCTCGTTGCCTGGTGTGCCTGCCGTCGTCGGAACTAAGAAGCGAGCCGACGGGGACGCGAATTGCACGAGATTCACGATTCTCGGTGGCTTCCTTTGCGGCGAGGTCGGGCTGGAGAACAGAGAGGGATGCCTCGGCCTTCACGAACCCTAGGCAGCTCTCAGGAAGGAACGCCAACCCGTTGGGCCAGTTGAGTCAGGTCGGTGTGGAGGTTGATGTGTCGACGGCGGGTGGCGCGGCGAGGAAGATGAAGACGAAGGAGGAGGGTGGCTGCTGTGTCTTCGAAAACCCTAGGCTTCCTGATTTGGGTGGAGGGGCAGGACAACATCAGCTCTCTCTCTCGAGCCAGGCGGATGGGGCTGCTTCTTGGTATGGGCTGAGAATAATGGGCCGTCTGGTAGAAAAGGGCCAAATGAGTTTAGGACAAGGAATTGGGTGTGAAAAGAGCTTCGATGGGCTTGTCCATGATCAGCAGGCCGTAAAGATGAACTGGGTTGAGCAAAGGCCTGGCGATGTCTTGCGTGGGCCTGAGTATAGGTCGAGCCAGCAAGGAAAAGTTGGGTCGGGCCAGTGTTGTCTACAAGAGAGAATTAAGCCTAACGTGGGCTGGGTTTTGAAGAAGGAAAAAGAAAAGAGATTCCTTGGATTGCAATATGGGCTTCCTAAAGTAGATAGCCCAAGGATATGTGGAGACAACGAATCAAGTAAGTGTGCTTGTTTCAATGCATATTTTTAAGGGCCTTGATGAGTTGGTACTCAAGGACAAGTTCTTGTACAATAAAGTACCCTTGGAGTCCCTAAGAGACGAGAGTGTGAGAAAGGAGGAGTTGTTGTTAGAATTTGTCATGGATGCAATTAGTGGGTCCATTGAAGTGAAGCTCGAAGAGTTAAATCGACACAAGAAGAACGGTGCGAGAAGCCCAATTGAAAAGATGGAGCATGATTGGAAGAAAAGGAAGCGCAAGCAGCAGAGAAGCGATGAACAGATTGGGCGAGAAGGATTGAAGAAATGGGTCAAGTCGGTCAACCTTGAGGGCAAGGTTGGTCTGAAGGGGGAGGAGATGTTAGAAACCGATTTATATCGGGTTTCTATATTTATGGTTATAATTATTAGGGCTAATACCACTACAACACCCAAACTATCCGGAAAATGCCACTTGTGTCCTATTGTTTCCAATATTCCATTCATGTCATGAACTATTATATTTTGTGTCATTTGTATCCTGCCAATTTCGTTGACCGTTAAAGATAACAGTTGACCAAACGACGGTCAACTTAACATTGACTTTTGCTTACGTGGCAATGCCAAGTCATTGACACCTCAAATTTTTAATTTAAATTAAATAAAACTTTAAAAATAAAAAAGTGAAAAGTCCACCGACTTCTTCTCTCCTGCGATGAGATTCTCCAGCCATGGAAAAATCCGCCCTCCCTAATCTCCGGCCATGGAAAAATCCACCGACTTCTTCTCTCCTGCGATGAGATTCTCCAGCCGAGACTAGTGATTCCCCCTCTGAATATCCACCATTCCCACAAATCCAATCCCTAGAAATTGGGATTCTCAACCCATCGACTACCATCTCCCAGCTGTTTCCAACTACTCGACCTTACCCCCACTGTTGTCTCCCGATTATGCGCCAACTGATATTGCAGGTATGGAGAAAGCGGAACTGATAGGCGAAGTAGAGAGCATGAGCTCACAGCCTGGGTCGGTAGGACGAAACTCGCCGCCGCGAAGGAGATTTCAGTGACGATTTTTGGAGAAGCGGACGGCTCGGAGGCCCGAGAGTTTCTAGAGGGTCGATTTTGCTGGAGGTTGCAGTTGCGAGTCGGATTGGAGTGGTGGCGGAGTGGGTTGGCGGGTCTGATTCGAGTGACGGTAGAGTGGGATGAGTATGGTGATGGCGGATTGGGTTGCCGGGTCTGCTCGAGAATCTAGATCTACGATGCTCAATCTCTCGATCCCTTCAAAGAATCTTCCAATGAAGTGAAGCAGAGGCTACGGTGATGCAAACTGCCATGTAGCAGAGAGTTCCGACGACAATTGACGGGCGGTGAGGTTTCTCTAAAAGAATCGTCGGGCGTCGAGGTCGCTCTGAAGAATTGTCGGGCGTCCATTGATCTCCGGCGACCGGCGGAATAAGAAACGACAGGCACCGAAACCAGAAACGAAAGGGACCTGGGAAAGAGGGGTGAATGATGAGCTTTTATTTTTAATTTTTAATTTTAATAATTTTTTTTAGAAAAAGAAAATAAAAATTGGGCCTAAAATTCCACGTCAGATGCCACATCAACGCTGACTAGGATTTCTGTTAAATACTAACGGTCAATGCTGGTCAACACTAACGGAAAAATAGTTCAGGACACAGATGGAATATTGGAAACAATAGGACACAAGTGACATTGTTCGGATAGTTCGGGTGTTGTAGTGGTATTAGCCCTAATTATTATTAGGATATTTCTTATTATGGTTTGTAGTCTTCTAGTAGAATTAGGTTTATTCTTAGGGTTTTCTTGTATTTCCCTATATATATATATATATATATATATATGTACTTTGGGTCATTCGTCATATTAGGCAAAAATTAATAAGAAAAGTCATCTCCCCAAATCCCTAATCTTCTCTCAATCTCGTCTATCTTTCTCTCTAAAGGCTTCGGCCATTCTATCTCTGTTCTTCCCCAAATTCTCTTCTCAAATCCCTAAATCCCCAACTCTGTTCTATAAACCCTAAATTCTCAATCTCTAGATCTAATTTGGAGACCCGTTAGAAACTTTGTTTCTAACATCTGTCTAGCAGATGCATGCATATGGTGGTCCAGAGCTAGGAAAATCTGTTGAAGTTAATGTATTCTGTACGTAATTAACCATGCATGATTGTAGGGTTAATTATTATTGTACCCTTTTGTCTAGTGTTTAAGTTGGTTAGTGGATGAAGGGCTAGTTACCCGAGTTGTCTTCTAAGAGTGTTCTTTCGGCTTCAAGCTAATATATATACCGACTCTGAGAGGCAATCTCTCCATGGACTAATCTTAGTGATACTCGCTCGGCAAATGTTTTCCAGGGGAAAAACTTGCATTGAATTGAAATTAATGCACCTTTAACTTCTTTGCACAATGATTAAATGATTAACTTAACAAAATTCACACATTTTCAAACAAAGTTCGAACGAGTGTATTCGATGTTTACACCACTCCCGAGACGGATCTACATTAAATTAGCCCTACTCCTATGAAGGTTCA